GTGTGTGTGTGTGTGTGTGTGTGTGTGTGTGTGTGTGTGTGTGTGTGAGTGTGTGTATCAATGTATGATTTTATGCATCATATTAGGCAGGCCTGAAATATACCATGTAGCCCAGACTGGATTCAAACTAAAGATCCTCCTGCCTCAGATTCACAAGTGTTGGGATTACAGCTGCCTGTTGAACCTGGCCTTGGCTGGTTATCTGTTTAGTGTCCGTGTTTACCCTCTCCCCTGAGTATATTTGTAAACTTTCTTTTGTTTTCATCTTGTGAGTGTCTGGATAACTCTGGTCAGACCAGCTGCTTGCTGTACAGGTGCTTTGGTACTCCTTTCCCACAGCATTTTGAACCCAGTTTGATCCCATCTAAGGTCATGTTTAAAATTTTCTATCTCAGGAAAGTGTAATACATTTTAAGTTTTAAATTACTCTCTTACTCCAATTAATAATTAAAGTATTTTCCAGTGTCTTGCCAAGTTTAAACTGTAATTTAATAATTGGGCTTTTTATTTATTTGGTTCATCAAGTCAGGTAGTTGTGTGGAACAGTTTTGGTGAAGTGAAGGCCATTAATGCAGTGGTTTTCAACCTGTGGGTTGCGACTTCTTTGACTAACCTCTATCTCCAAAAGTATTTATGATTCATAACAGTAGCAAAATTACAGTTACGAAGTAGCAATGAAAACAGCTTTATGGTTGGGGGTCACCACAACATGAGAAACTGTCTTAAATGATCACAGCATGATGGGGGTTGAGAACCACTAGAATAGACCATTTTTAAATTACTGTATATAATTTATATATGTTGAATATATGTCTTAAATTTAATAGATTATAAACTTTTTTATATGTTAGTGTAAAATAATTTCTTTAATAGTAAGTTTTATTTTAGAAAAAAGCTTGTTATTTGGAAGTAATTTTCCAGTTGTGTACTGTTTGGCAACTTACTCAGAATATGCTAAATCTGTCTTATCTAATTTTCCTAAATGAAGTGAACTACCAGTATTTTAATCTAAAAGATGAGGAAAATAAAAATAACTGCTATTTCTGGATAAATACTGCTGTTACTTGGTATGCATATCAATGTTTGCCTTTTTCTGTTTAGAGTGTATGTCTGAACTAAAGGCTTTGTTTTGATTGGATGTTTTAGACGTGAACCATTTGAAACAACAGCTTGAAGAAGCTAACTCTGTGAGGCGAGAACTAGATGACGCTTTTAGGCAAATCAAGGCTTTTGAAAAACAAATCAAAACTTTGCAGCAGGAAAGAGAAGAGCTAAATAAGGTAAGCATATATGAGTGGATCCTTAAAGCTGTTTCTACATGTTTCATCTTTTATAATTAGAATATTGGAAGCATTCCTAATAAATGACAATATATTTATCTATAAAAATTTAAAATGAAATTTGCATGCTAACCTAAAATGTTAATTTAAAATGGTTTAACATTTTTCAAGATTGATTTTATTTTCAACTGTGTGTATGTGTGGGGATATGTGCACCAAAGTGTGTGCCTATTGAGGCCATGGGCCCGGGATCCCCTGGGACCGGAATTACAAGCAGTTATAAGTTGCTGAACATGGGTGCTGGGACCTGAGCATGGCCCTTTGCAGGAATAGTATGTGCTCTTAACCATTTTTGTGTATGACATTCTTCATTAGCTAATAGTAAGAAAACTCAAATTTTTAAGGTTTTGAAGTTCAGAATGTTTTGTTCATTTGGGAAGTTAAAAGTCTTAGCTTAGAAAGGAATGTTACTAGGAAGACACAAGAAAAACAAATAGTATATCTATAAAAATTTTAAATACAGATTTTAGGCCTTAAATGCTATTTTATTGTCTTAATTTGTATTTTCTAATTTCTAATGTGGTCATGTATCTCTGACACATCTGTCCATTATGTATTTTCATTATAACTTGCTGGTATGAACACTGTTAAGTTATAATTTAAAATCCCTTCCATGCTTTACTTGTTCTTTAAATGTCATTTTCATTTCCAAAGAAGCATGGGAAAAAAACTAAAGTCATTTTCATAAGAACTTTGTGTGTCATTTAAACACTACTAGGCATAGCAACAAAATTTATACATAATTGAGATTACATAACAACACAATAGAGAAAATAATATTCAAGCAGTAGGGAAAAGACTCAAACCATATGTTGGTAAGTACCGTGGATTTCATTAGCAATAACAAAAATGGAACTACGCCAGCCTATACAATTGAGAGATAAGTAGTTTTGCCACAGTATAAATTGTATTCAAGTTGTTTGGTATACAAAATACTGATTAATATAGAATGAAGTCCTTCTGGGGTTAAGTTATACGTCTAATTATCAGTAAGGAAATGGAGTTAAAAATAAAACAACCTTATGTTGATAAGGGAGATATTATAGATTAAATTGAATTAGCTGAGTACATTTTTACTTTCTATTTAATGCAGTTTTGAGTTTTGGTTTATATAAATTCGTCTAAACCGAGGGTCGTGTATAGCACTTGGCATTTATGGCAGCAGTTCTTTTTCCTTTAATAATAGTGGAGTAATATTAGTGATTTATAAGTTTGTGTTTATCAGCATTATTGCACAGTCAAATTTAGTTAACATAATAAGCATAAAAATCTGGCATCTTGACTTATAGAAACACGTTTTCTTTTGACAATTTTTACTACATTTTAATGCTAAAAACCCTGTAAGCATATTTTGAAATGACATTACTAGGGTTGAAAAGAAGCAGATTTACCAATAAGATATAATAAAAAAAAAAGTGAATTATGAAGAGGTGCTTTGGCTAATGTCTTATGGGCAGGAGGGAAAACATAACTTTCTTTGCATCCTAACTAATGCTTGTTCGCTTTTGTCTTTTTTATAATAACCATTTTGACAGCTGTAAATAATATCTAATTCTGGTTTCTTTGTTTTTGCTTTCTGTGGTGATTAGTTTATCTTGAATGTTGGCTTTTTCTGTGTCTTTCTTTGAGCACTGTGCATGTAGGGCCTCTGCTTATTTTTAATTAATTTAGCAAATATTTTGTTTTTATAATAATGTCTGATGTCTTCCAGATCCCAGTTTTTATAGTCTCTCACACAGTACGGAAGTTTGTGTGTTCAATGATGTTTCAAATGCTGTGTTAACTCTCTGAGTCAGTCTTGTCTATATTGGGACTTTCTCCTAACACAAGCTTCCTTCTCGTCTAACCTGCTTTGTCTAACTTCTTACATGGTGAAGGATCTCTAACCACATGTCTATTGATCAGTTGATGGTTTTCTCTTTACAAAATGCCTTAAAATTTTGCAGATTTTTTTCTGATTGTCTTTTGTTATTTATAAGAATTCTTGAAATTTTCCAATGTCTTTCACTAAATGTCCAGGATAAAGATAGCTGTCAGTGGTGTTTGTTTACCCTCCTTGACTAACCAGAGCTTGTAAGTGAAATGTGCATTTGTCAAGATACTTGTTAGTGCATTTGCTGGCTCATACATTAGTAAGAAATTAGAGATTTTTTTAAAAATCTCCTAAATTTTATTCTACTTTTTAAAATCTAGTCTTTGATATTTGTGCTTCTGAACACTAGAAACTCACTTTTGCTTACATGTTGTTACGGGATCTTACTCATTTTCCTTGGTCCCTGGTTCTTGTGATCTCAAGGAAAGGATTCTTTCAAGACAGAGACACACAGCGTAGATAGAGATAGGTGGGATTTATTGTAGCATAAAGTAGAACCCCTTCAAGAGTTGAGGGGGACAGTGGCCAAAGTAGCCTTTGTAAAGCACTGCACATTCTCAACGGGTAAAGTTGACAATGATCAAAGAGGCCACTGTGTTTACTTACACTTAGGTACGCTTTATACTATTTCTGAAGTCTTTTGAACAGCTTTTTCTGAAGGATGTTTTGTTGTCCAGGATATTGACGGGCCATTTGGATTGGCTCTTATGGAAGAGGATGACAATCTATCCTTGAATTCTCAATGTGCATCCTTCCAGCCAGGGCCAGAGATTTGACTCAGAGCTCATTTTTGTAACCAGCAATCAAGAGTCCTGCTGCTGGTTATGAGGGAGGAGTTTGTTACTATGAAACTCCAAACCTGCTAATACCTAACTAGCTGCCTAAGAATTGTGTTTTCCTTTATCCAGTATGGCTAACCAGTTACTTGTGTACAGAATTGTTCATTCCCCAGTTGTGTAATGGCACCTCATCATATAGCAAATTTTCTCTTGACATTAGTCTCTATTCCTTGAAAACTGTGATGAAATTTTCATTGAAATTATATGTCCTCTTGCAGAGGACTCAAGTTCAGTTCTCAGCACCCACATGGGAGCTAGCAATTGCCTATAACTCTAGTTCTCTGGGTATGATGCCCTCTTCTTGACTCTGCAGATTCTGTGTGCACCATGCACACACATAATGCATGCTAAAGACACATACACATAAATAAAAAGAAATTTTAAAAAGAGTTTGAGAAGGTAAACAAGTCATCACTGTCTGCCCTTCATGTCTTTAGAAGTAGTCCATTTCCTTCAGTGTTGTCCTGAGGTGAATTATTTTGGCTCTTCATGACCTAATAACTACTTTGATGGCCAGATTTGGTCTCTAGGTTGCAGATTTAGTAACATATATTCTTTTTACAAAACCGTAGGAACTAGTCCAGGCTAGTGAGCGATTAAAAAACCAATCCAAAGAGCTGAAAGACGCACACTGTCAGAGGAAACTGGCCATGCAGGAGTTCATGGAGATCAATGAGCGACTAACAGAATTGCACACCCAAAAACAGAAACTTGCTCGCCATGTCCGAGATAAGGAAGAAGAGGTGGACCTGGTGATGCAAAAAGCTGAGAGCTTAAGGCAAGAGCTGCGCAGAGCAGAAAGAGCCAAGAAAGAGGTTAGTAGCCAGGCAAACTCCATAGTATCTATGGAGTAGTACTTTCAACTGCACTTAGACTAGTGAAGTCATGTGCATTCTGTTCTTTAAGTTTTGATAAAAGTTATTTTGTAGTGTGGTACTAGTAACTAGTGTGAATCTCACCATTCAAGCTATAAATTCTTTTGAGGGAAGGTACTTTGAAAAACTAACCATGAAATCTGCACTTTTCCTTTTATTTTAAAGCTGGAAGTACACACTGAAGCTCTAATTGCTGAAGCATCGAAGGACAGGAAGCTCCGAGAGCAGAGCGAGCATTATTCTAAACAACTGGAAAATGAATTGGAGGGACTGAAGGTATGGCTGACTTTTATGACTCCTAATGGATTTTTGTCTCCATAAGCTTAATAGGAGTGTTAGCATACTAATTAATTTTGGTGAAGAATGAAAACTACCTGTGCTTCTAATCTAGTATTCTTAATTCTCATTCTTACTAGTAGGAAGCTGGTATGGATTTACTAATCACACCCAGTTGTTTGGTGAAGAGTAGGAATCCACAAAGGACTGCCTACCTGTACAAGATGTCCTGGTAATCTGAATACATGTGAATAAGAGACCAAGACTAGTGTCCTTGACATGGCGATGCTCATGTCACTAATACACATCTGCTCAGGACTCCATCTGCTTCCCACAATACCTACTCGTTCCTTAGGAGGTTTTCATACAATAACATTATCCGTAAAAGGTATATAATTGTATACCATATTTTAGTTCTTTTAGAGGTTCTAAGAATTTTTATTCCAGTAAGAATAATTTTCAGTAGGCTTGGTGGCACTGGGCTGTAGTCTCAGCTACTTGGGAGATAAAGGCAAAAGGGTTTCAGGGTCAAGTCCTGAGCAACCTAATGAGACCCTGACACTAAAGGAAAGGTGCAGAGTGGGCTGGAGGTTAAAGCTCAGTGGTAGGATGCTTGCCTGGTGTGCAGAAAGCACTGTGGTTTATTTCCCTAACCACTGGGAATGGACATGAATGACTTTAACAGATGCAAAGAGAGAAAAGCTTATACAATAGGAATCCCACTTCTTGCAGCATGTAATGCTTGAAGGATTCTAAAATGAGCTAATCTAAGACAAGTTAAAGTATGTATATGCAGGTTTATTGGAAGCAGCTCTCGGCTGCCATGCGTGGGAGGAGGGGAGAGAAAAAAAAAGAGAGGCACGTGCAGAGAGAGAGGAGAGCGAGAGAAAAGAAAGGAACCAAGAATGTCTGGATTATGTAGTGACGGGAGGGGAAGCCCCTGCCCCTGGGTTGGAAAATTCAGGATAGAGGGTGGGGTATGCCAGCCACGCCCTGCAGCAGGTAGAGATGGAGGGCTGCTGGGAGAAGCCCAACGTATAGATCATCAGTGTAACTTTGAGGTATTAGAACACTGGTTCTAACAGATAATATAGAGCTTTTACCCAATAACAGCAGAATGCAAATCCCATTTAAAGATGTGTGCTAAACTGCAGAACTGACCATAGCTTAGGCCACAAAACAATCTCAGTAAATGTAAAAAGGCTGAATTCCAGCAAAGAATCTTCTCTAGCCACTGGAACTGGAAACCAACAGAAGAAAACTTTGATGCTCAAAAATATGTGGGCATTAAACAGCACACCTGAAGCAGCCAGTGAGTCAAGGACAGCACACAAGGAAATTAGGATGAGAATGGAACACATCATATCAGAACTGTGGATGTTGGTTGTGAAGGCAGTGTTCATAGGGAAACTTGTAGCTCTAAATGCCTGTTTAAAAAGATAAAAGCCTCAAATTAATAGCCGAACAATATTTTACAGAACAGAAGAGAGGGCAGGAGAACAAGCTAAACTCAAAGATAGCAGAAGGAAAGAAAAAGATGAATGGAAAGGCTGAGGGTAGTGGCCCACACATGTAATCACTGCACTGAGGAGGTAGAGGGTGAAGAACGGGAGATCAAGGTTGTTTGGGATACATAGTTAGTTGAAAGTTAGCCTGTGTTGCGTGAGTTCCTGTCTCAAAACAAAACATAAAAACATTAGATCAAAAATAATAAAATAGAGAATAGGAAATAATAGTGAACCTAAAAGTTTATTTGAAAAGATTAACACAGTTAACAAACCTTCAGATAGATGGAACAGGAAAAGTAGAAAAGGATGGGTGGGTGCGGGTCTTTAAAATCAGAAACAGAAGTGGGTGTTTTATTTATGGCCAACAGAAAATAAAGGAACTGTATGCTGCTAGAATAGGTGACCTAGATAAATGGACAAATAAGCTAAAATGACTCAAAATAAAATAGAAAATCTGGACAAATTTGTATAGCTAATAAAAAAATTGAATGGATAATTTAAAATCTTCTGGGAAACAGGTTTGTGACCAGACTTCCCACTAGTGAACTGAACCAGAGATTTTAAGAACAGTTCAAATAAGTTTTGTTTATAATTACTACTTTAAATTAATAAGATAACTTAAATGTATGAATTATGTGATGAGCAAATATCAGCATTTCATAAAGTTTTTGTTGTTGTTGTTGTTGTTTTAAGTATCACTGTTGTGAACCTAACTGCTAGTCATTCCATACCACTAATATGTTAGCCTGCCGGGGCTCTTACAAATCGTAAGTGGCTTACACAAATGTTTGGTCGTCCGAGTCTGCAGGCTAATGCTCAGCTTCAGCATGGTGGAGTCAGCTTCCGGTGGGTTCTGGTTATCTCTGATGTCCCTTGGCTTTTGGCTGCATCCCTTGATACATCTTCACACCATATGGAATTCTCCTGTGTGCAATGTTAGTGTCCAAATCTCTTTTTTTTGTAAGGACACATTCATGTTGGGCTAGGGACCACCCTAATGACCTCATTTCACTTAATTCCTTCTAAAAGACACTGTTTAAATCAGGTCACATCCTGAAGTACTGGGTGGTTAGGTGTTCAACATACGAATTTAAGGAGACAATTCAATCCCAGACACTTACACCTTTTGTAGAAAGCATTTTCACTACTAAAAAATGATCATATTTATAATTTTAGTGATTATAAGTAATTAGAGAAGAATATCTGCAATCAGTATTCTACAGTTAAATGATAAGCTTTTAAAACGTTAAAAAATGCTTCATTTTATTTTTTGTGTATGAATGTTTTGCCTTCATGTATGTTAAGTGTGTGTCGTATACCCTGGAACTAAAGCTACAGGCAGTTGTGAACCACCGTGGGTCCTCCGGAAGAGCAATGAGTGCTCTTAACCACTGGGCCATCTCTCCAGCCTCTGACTTTTGTAAAAGGATAATTTCCATTGACGCTTGTGTGCTACTTTTTTATTATGTTATTTTGTTAAATGCCTAGAAATAAAGGGAGTAAATCATTTCAAAACACATATTTTTACAAATATGAAAGGCCAAAAAGTTATAGTAGTTCTTTGCATTTCTTGGTTTATTATGACATAAACTGTACTTTTCCTGTACAGTTTCTATTTGCCCATTTAATATTACAGTCCTAATATTTTCCTTGTCAATTCATATAAATTTTTTACACAGTAAATTTTTTTTCTTTTTCTTAGTTTTCAACATCTACTTTCAGTGCATCATTTGTCTTATAATTATATTGTTCAATTGTAAAACTATAGACTATAGAATATTTCTCTTTACTCGGTGTTTCTTCTGTTGCTACAAAGCTTGGCTTGTCATGAGTGATTATAAATATTTAGTTTTGTTTTCTTTTAGATTTTTTTATAAGGCTTCAAAAGTATTGAACTGTTGAATGTATTTGTAGTTTGTTTAGCGAAGTGGTATGTTTTTGTTCTCGTGTTGCTACTTGGTGATTCCAGTTCCACTTATTAACTATTGCCTTCCTCATTGATACTTCCATGTTGAATTCAGTTACTCATTTGGAGAAGATGTATATACAGTGATAACTGAATTAAAGATTCAGTGTGTATTTTAGTTGTTTGAAAAGCCTATTCCTGTCACTTCTTTTTTTTTTTTTTTTTTAGTATTTCCTTGGCTATTTTGAAATTTGTTCTTCACAAATGAGAAGAATTTTTTTTCATCCTTTCCTGTACTTCTCTCACCTCTGAAAGGGACTTTTTTATTAAAATTATATGGAAAATAATGAAAGCATAGGCATTTGATCTTTCAAGTAGTTGGTATTTTTCTATTTAAATATTTCATATTTATAAAGACTTGAAGTTTTTTTCATTAAAATGAGGAATATCTTACTGTTGTTATTCCTTATGGGTGTTATACCATGTTTTTGTTTGTTTGTTTTTACTATTAACATTTTTATTATGTTTTCTTGTTGCTTAATTTAATATCTAGAATTATTTTGGGTTTATCGTCTATGGTTTGTCATTTCTGATACTGGTATATCATTAGTATTTTTTAGGGAAACAATTGCATAGAAATAAAACTTTCTGTTTTCTTTACAATATTCATTCCCATTAAGTTTCATATGCTGGTCAGCCAGAGTAACTGAAATTCCTGTGATACAAGAGCGATAGACGAAGACATCCTTTCTGTTACAATATTTCTAAATTTAGTGGATGAACTTCTGATGTTTCACTATTATTATTTTGTCTGGCAGCTTAAAATACTTTAACCTGAACAATTTACTGAGTTCTCTATTAGTTTTATTGTAGAGCTTGAACTAATATTTTGAATTATTGAATTTTATTAAATACTTTTCAAACGTAAAGGTACTGTTCTGGAGAGATGGCTCAGAGGTTAAGAGCACTAGTTGTTCTTCCAGAGGTCCTGAGTTCAATTCCCAACAACCACATGGAGGCTCACAACCACCTATAATGAGATATGGTGCCCTGTTCTGGCCTGTAAGCAGAACACTGCATACATATTAAATAAAATAAAAATTTTAATGCTTTTTTATTTATTACAATTTATTCACCTTGTATCTCTACTGCAGCCTCTTCCATCTCCTTCCAGTCCCACCCTTTCTTCCCCAATGCCCCTTCCCCAGTCCACTGATAGGGGAGGACCTCCTCTCCTTCTCTCTGACCCTAGTCTATAGGTTTCATCAGGGCTGGCTACATTGTCTTCCTCTGTGACCTGGTAAGGCTGCACCCCCCGCCCCATGGGGAGGTGATCAAAGAGCTGGCCACTGTCAGAGACAGCCCCTACCCCCTTACTAGGGAACCTACTTGGAAACTGAGCAGGAGGTCTAGGTCCTTGCTATGCATGGTCCTTGGCTGGAGTATCGGTCTCTGCAGTCCCCCCACCACCAGCAGCCTAGATATTTTTTGGCTCTGTTGGCCTGTCTCCTTGTGGAGTTCCTGTTCCCTCCAGGTCTTTCCATCTCCCTCTTCTTCCATAAAGTTTCCTGAACTCTGCCCAAAGTTTGGCTATGAGTCTCAATATCTCCTTCGATACCCTGATGGGTAGAGTCTTTCAGAGATCCTCTGTGGAAGGCTCCTGTCCTGTTCCTTTTCTTCTCCTTTTGATGTCTATCCTGTTTGCCCTTCTGAGTGAGGTTTCAGCCTGAATGTAACCTTGTACAACCACTTTGGAAATCAATCTGGTGCTTTCTCGGACAATTAGGAATAGTGCTACCTCAAGATCCAACCATACCACTCCTAGGCATATATCCAAAAGTTGCTAAACCATACAACAAGGACATTTGCTCAACTATGTTCATAGCACCTTTATTCATAATAGGCAGAATCTGGAAACAACCTAGCTGTCCCTCAACTGAAGAATGGATGAAGAAATTATGGTACTTTTACACAAAGGAATACTACTCAGAAATTAAAAACAAGGAAATCATGAAATTTATAGGCAAATGGTGGGATCTAGAAAAGATCATCCTGAGTAAGGTATCCCAGAAGCAGAAAGACACACAGGGTATATACTCACTTATAAGTGGGTACTAGACCTATAATATAGGATAAACATACTAAAATCTATAATCCTAAAGAAACTAAACAATAAATAAAATAAATCTTAAAAATATTTTTTAAAAAGGCAAGGGTACCTGCTGAGGAGCTCACTTGGATTTTCAATCTGTCAGAGCAATGCATTTATTAATATATTAAACTTCCATCATTACTGACAAGAAAACTTACTGTTTTATGACAGGTTGTTTGTTTTTAGTTATGATTTAATTTTATTTTCAATATTTTATTTGTTTTTTTAAATTCTTACACAATACATGATTCATCTGAACTTAAACTAGTGATCTTGTCAGTATTGATTTCAGGGGAATTTTTCTTTGAAACTTCTTGTTTCCATTGTTGCCATCACAGCAGTCAACTAAGCAGACATGTTCCTGATGTAATTAAAACTGTGAAAAGGTGGTATGGGTCACAGACAGTGGACACTTCAGAGGTGTGTTCAGGTACCAGGCATTTCACATGCATAAGGGCAGGAAAGGTAAATGAATAAATAAATTGGGGCTGGAGAAGTTCAGTGGTTAAGAGCACTCACTGCTCTTCCAGAGAACCTTAATTTGGTTCCCACTACCCAAACTGGGCAGCTGGTAATTGCCTGTAACTATAGCTCCAGGAGGTGGTCCTTGGTTATAGAGGAAAGAGGCCGAGCAAGCCAGGAGGTGCAAACCAGTAAGGAGTGCTCTTCCATGAACATGGTTGGGTCAGTTTCCTTATTGAATTGTGGGGCATCTTTTTGGGTATATGCCTAGGAACTGCATAGCTGGATCTTGAGATAACACTATTCTTAATTTTCTGAGGAAGTGCCAGATAAATTTCCAAAGTGGTTATACAAGGTCACATTCCCATCAGCAATGGAGGAGGGTTCCCCTTTCTCTACATCCTCCCCAGCTTGCATCATATCATCCTTTGAGTTTTTGATCTTAGCCATCCTGATGGGTGTGAGGTGGAATCTCAGGGTCTTTTTGATTTGCATTTCCCGAATGACTAAGGATGTTGAGCGTTCGAAGTGTTTCTCTGCCATTCAGTATTCCTCTGTTGAGAATTCTCTGTTTAGCTCTATACTTCATTTTTTAATTGGATTACTTGATTTGTTGGTGTTTCACTTCTTCAGTTCTTCATACATTCTGGATATCAGCTCTCTGTCAGATGGAGGATTGGTGAAGATCTTTTCTTAGTCTGTAGGCTGTCATTTTGTTCTGATGACAGTGTCCTTTGCTTAATAGCCAGAATCTGGAAACAACCTAGATTTCCCTCAATGGAGTAATAGATACAGAAATTGTGGGACACTTACACAATGAAATACTACTCAGCAATTAAAAACAAGGAAATCATGAAATTTGCAGGCAAATGGTGAGAACTAGAAAAGATCATCCTCAGTGAGGTAACCCAGAGCAGAAAGACACACATGGTATATACTCACTTATAAGTAGTTATTAGCCATATGATATAGGGTAAACATACTAAAATCTATAGCCCTAAAGAAGTTAAACAACAAGGAGCACCATAGGTAAGATGCTTAATCCTCATTCAGAAGGGCAAACAGGATAGACATCAGAAGTAGGAGACAAAAAGGAACAGGACAGAGCCTTCTACGGAGGGCCTCTGAGAGACTGTACCCACCAGGGTATCGAAGGATATCCTGAGATCATAGCCAAACTTTGGGCAGAGTACTGAAATTCTTATGGAAGAAGAGGGAGGTAGAAAGACCTGGAGGGGACAGGAACTCCACAAGGAAAACAACAAAGTCAAAAATCCTGGGCCTAGGGCCACCTGCAGAGACATACTCCAACTAAGGACCATACATGGAGAGGACCTAGATCCCCTGTTCAAAGGAAGCTCATTGGCTGCTCAGTTTCCAAGTGGGTTCTCTAGTAAGGCATAAAGGGGCTGTCTCTGACATGAACTCAGTGGCCGGCTCTTTGATCACCTTCCCATGGGGGTGCAGCCTGGCCAGGCTACAGAGGAAGATGATGTAGCCAGCCTTGATGAAACCAGATAAGCTAGGATCAGATAAAAGGAAGGAAGACCTCCCCAATTAGGGGACTAGGGAAAGGGCACAGGGGGGAGTAGTGAGAGGGTGGATGGGACTGGGAAGAGATGAGGGAAGGGACTGCAGTAGGGATACACAGTGAATAAATTGTAATAAATATATAAATAAAATTTAAAAAATTTTAAAAAGTCCTCTTCCATGACCTCTGCTTCAGTTCCTGCCTCCATGTTTCTCCTTTGACTTCCCTCAGGATGGACTGTAACCTGAGAGTTCTAAGCTGAAATAAACCTTTTTCTCCCAGGTTGTTTTTGGTCATGGTGTTTAGCACATAATAGAAACCCTAACTAAGACAGTAGCTAATGTCTGTGACCTACATACTTCTATCATGGCCTAAGTGTGAGACTATTTTAGGAAAACAAGCCCTTTTCTCCTTTTCCTGAATGTTTTCCCTAAAAGCTAAAAGGCTTGCTTTTTCCTAATGGAGATATGAAGATGTTTAGAGCTGTATCATTTCTTTCTTTACAGTTACAAAAAAAAAAAACAAAAAACAAACTCCTTTCTTTTCTTCTTATACATTCTTATTCAACCATGTCCCTCCCCATTTTAAGACGTGAATTTAATGCAAACTTCTTGACTACTGCTTATTAGAGATCAGATGGTTAGATTTTTTTTTTAAACATATATCAACAAGAATACTAGGTAGAAATATAAATGTTGTGCTGGCTAGTTTTCATCAGCTTGACACAAGCTAGGGTCAACTAGGAAGAAGGAACCTTGATTGAGAGAAGGCCTCCATCATATTGCCTGTAGGCAAGGCTAAAGGGCATTCTCTTGATTAATGATTTATATGGGAGGCTCAGATGACTTGACGTGGTATCTAGACTGCTGATGGTCTGGGTGGCATAAGAAAGCAGGCTACGGAGGCCCTGGAGGGCAAGCCAGTAGGCAGCGCTCCTTTGCAGTTGTGCTGGACTTCTGCCTCCAGATTCCTGCCCTGAGTGCCTGGCCTCGCTTCCTTCCATGATGGACTGTGACGTGTAGGAAAAAAATAAGCCCTTTCTTCCCTAGATTGCCTTTGGACATGCTCTTTATCATAGCAACAAGGAGCAAACTAGAATAAATTTTAAAAGAAATTATATAAATGCCAACAAAAAGCTCAGATTAATTTCTGGTCATAGTAGGCAGGCTTTCCAAAATATCAGAGATACAGACCATAAAAGCATATAAACTGAGGAAAGTATTTGCAATATATGGCAGAGAAATAATAGCCTTACATATATATTTTTGTGTGAGAACATATATTAAAATGGCATGTATATATAGTCCCTGATAGAAAACAGTTATTTTATTTCTTTAATCTTTTGTCATCTATATAGCAAAAACAAATTAGTTACTCACCAGGAATCTGCAGCATAGAACATCAGCAAGAGATAACTAAACTGAAAACTGACTTGGAAAAGAAAAGTATCTTTTATGAAGAAGAAATATCAAAAAGAGAAGGAATTCACGCAAGTGAGATTAAAAACCTGAAGAAGGAGCTGCATGACTCAGAAGGCCAACAACTTGCTCTCAACAAAGAAATTATGGTTCTAAAAGACAAATTGGAAAAAACCAGAAGAGAAAGGTAAGAATCAAATTATTTTCTCATCTGGCAAATATCTACTAAGTGTATGTCGTGTACCAAGCTTAGGAAACTCAGGCCATAGGCATATCCAAGTCTCAGCAGGGACAATCAAGATGGTCAAGCAGAAAATTATAGTGCAACTTGGAAAAAGGGTGGGTGGGGGAGAGCAGTGTGGAAGCAGCGTAAGAGAGATGCAGGAAGGGCACTTTGTACACACAAGCTGCCCAGCAAGAAGTATGCCTGAGCTGGACCTCAAGGAGAGGGAATGTCTCATATTCAGAAAACAAGTGCTACTTGCTGTAGCACATGGAAAAATGTAGCACATCTATACATGGAAAAATGGGTGTGGTAAAAAATGAGACTTCAAGTAAATTCATGATTTAAGGTAAGGCCTTTGCACTGTATCCTAAGGGACTAAAGGAAAGTTATGTGATGGTGCTTGTATTTTGGAATGTTCACTTGCTACCTTGTAGAGAGTGATGTAGAAGCAGCCAAAGAAATCCAGCTGTAAAATGAGGTATAACTCCATAGATAGTATTGAAGTTGGAAGGAACTGTGATATATTGAGAGATTCTACTGAAAAGACAGAATCTGCAGGACAGAGGGAAGTGGCTATAAGAGGGAGCAGAAGCAGTTATCAGTAGCAGTGAGGGTCTAGGTTTCAGGCAACTGAATGGATGCTGTTGCCATTTGTCCTGTGTTATTGGAAGCATTTTTGCAGTTTGGTGCATTTTTGACAAATGTAAAGTACTATTGTATGTGCTTTGGTATGGGAGTGAACAGAAGTCTCTGTCCTTGTGGAACCTTCTCTCAGTAGGTGAAAGAAAATAAAAAGAATAAGGGAGATGTAGAACACATTACATAATGTCCTGTGCTAAAAACAAAAACAGAGGAGGAAATAGCTGTTAGTGGGAAGATTAAATTCTGTGAACAGCAGGGAAGAGGAAATGAGATGCTGGAAGAAATCTTACTGAGGAGGTTACTTTCTAGTAAAGAGTAAATAAAGAGTGAAATTTATGTTGTTGTGTAAGAACATTGTACACTGAGGAGGGCCCATCTACTCAAAAGTCCTGAGCAGGCCTTGCGAGTCTTACGTGCTCATTGTAAGCGAATTTCATATGTTTATGTGAAGTAAGCTAGTTTCAGGGGTAGAAATACATAGAACGCTGGGTGTTACTCCCGCCTTAGTGCTGTCATCTGAATATGATCGATCACTTAGGGCGTGAGCATAGATAGAGGAATGTCCTCACACTGAGCTCTGGGGCATTTGAGTCTGTAGAAACTGGGAGTTGAGGAAGAGCTAGCAAAGTAAATGAAGAGTGATAGCAAGAAAACCAGGCTAGTGTGGGTTTTTGGGACCCTGATCAAAAGAGCATGTCAAATCTGTCAATGTGTAGGACAGTTGGAAGTCTAGACTAAGAAAAGAGCTGCACATTTGTGTTTAACATCACATGACTTTGATGATGACAGTCTCAGTAGAAAAGTGGTCACAGGAGTCCTGAAGGAGAGCCAGTGGGGCAGTGTGCTTGAAGTTGTTACTGCACAAGCAGGCAGTGACATAAATAGTAGCTGGAGAGGTGTATCTCAAGTCACTGTGCTCATTGGTGGTGGTGGTGGTGTGTGTGTGTAAGAGCTCAGCCTTACTCAGTCATATGTAATTTTACCTATAGAAAAGAAGAGAATGTAGAGTCAGTGGCCCAGGTGAAGTTAGCTAGGAAGGTAGGTCTGGGTTTTGTGTTGAGTTGGGACTTTTGATGTGAATGCTCAGGAGACACTGATGTGGGATGTGTCATCAGTTTAAAGCCCCGGCAAGTTTCCAATACAGATCCCAAGCTCCACTGGTGTAGTAGATAGTAATTGGAGCCAGGTGATGAGGTTGAAATACCCTGGGAGGATATTGGAGAGGAAGTGAGCACCTGAGATGGCATTCTGAGGAACACTGGGATTTACAGGAAGGCAGAAGGACGCCAGTAGAAGCTGCATTCTCTAGAGGAAGGGTGGGCATCCCTGCACAGGTAGATTGCAGTGGTGGCACAGGGCGAGCTCACAGAAACGTTTGCTTTGCTTAGGTGGTGGGGGCAGACCTTCAATTCTAATATGGTGTGCTTATTGTCATTTTAACATATGACTTAGTTTGCTTAATGCTATTTAAAAAACAATGGCTTTACATGAAAGTTTACTCAGTTTATTAGTGAACATATTCTTCTGAAAAGCTTCTTTACAATTTTTTCCGATTTTGTTTTCAAAGTTACTCCTATGTCAGGAAAGATTTCTTAATATAATTAAAAGTGACATTTGGGGCTTTAAATACTACACATTTGCTTGCAGACTGGATGTTTTTTTTAATTTATAATTTATCTTTAATAATCAAGTATTATAGGAAATGTTAGGGTCACCCATTACTAAGGTCTTTTATTCACTTGAAAACAATTATATAAAATTACTCAGAATTGATCTGCACAGAATTTTATTTTAGTGCTAACATCCTCTAACTGCCATAGACACAAGTATATTTTTTAACATGACAACACAGTCTTCAGAAACAGCTTCCCCCTTATCTCTTAGGTGTTTAGAATGGTTTATTTCCAAACAGTCATAAATCAGTCTTACCTCATAAATATGCTTTATATTATTTGTTGTGCAGGTTAGTGTCTAGCTGTAGGAAGAGAGAAGGGCTGGGAGTATTGAGCAACTACTAGAAATATAATGGTGACTGTATATATTTACAGATACAGTCTAGCGATGAGAAAAAGAAATTCCATTGTGGCCCAGATATTCGCCAGCTAACCTGCTCCTTTAATTACACATTCTAGTGTCTCTGTCCAGTCACAGTGAACAAGTAGGGCTCAAGCCTCTCCCCGGCACCGGGCTTTGCTCAGGTGTTGTGATGCAGCGTGGGTGGATATGACAGCTCAGCAGCGTCTGTAGACTAAGTGCGCCTGAGTGCGGTTTCCAGGGTAAAGGGCTAGGATGTGGGACAGTCCAGCAACAGTGAAGTGGCAGGCAAGCAGTCGGCCAGAATGCTGTCATTTTCAGTGAAATCGCTTCTGTTGTAGCAGTTTCTACTATCACTTGGAGACTCAGAGGGCACTCAGAGAATGGTGGCCTCCGTCCTACTGTGGGGTCCTTACTCAGAAGGTCCTCTGAGTGTTCTTGGGAATGACTGTGGTCACTGAGCAACCGGGAAGTAGAGCTTTTACTCTATCATCCTCCCTGTCTGAGCTGGGAGGAGGTGGCAGTTACTGTCACTTTCATTTTGGTAGCTTATTCATCAACTTTCCCTGATTGTACATTCTCTATTAGTCACTTCATCTCAAATATTAATTGTGATATTACCAAATTTTATTTTCTTTATAGACTTATCTGAAATTAGTTCACTTACTAATTTTTTTCTTCTAACACTTGAATATAAATTCTGTAAGCAGGGCTTGTTCACAAAACTCAAGAATTTATTTGTTGGTGCATTTTATTTTTTAAAGAAAGAGTCTCACTGTATAACCCTGGCTGGCCTGGAACCCACTCTGCAGACCAGGCTGGCCTCCAGACCAAGATCACTTGGCCTCCTGAGTTCTGGGACTAAAGGCACACACCACCATGCCAGACACACTTGGAAAGGTTTTTTTCATGCCTGACCGTGCATATCACCATACTCTGTTCTTTGTGGCTGTACCTATAGTTCAGTCTGATTTCTTTGTGTTTGCTATGTAACTGTTATATAAATAATTTTTTTTAGTTGAATTTTTACTCAATTCTCTCTTTTGATTTTCTGTTTTAAATTGTGTTAGTCAAAGTGAAAGGGAAGAATTTGAAAATGAGTTCAAACAACAGTATGAACGGGAAAAGGTATTATTAACTGAAGAAAATAAAAAGTTAACAAGTGAACTTGATAAGGTGAGTGATTCGATCTCATTTGGGGAGCTGCATGCTGGGTGTTAAGCACTGTGCTTTCTATCATGATGGTCACTTTATAGTCACTGTGTTATTTACGGTCCTTCTTATCAGCTCTCCACGTTTGTATGGCAGGTTTTTGTTTTACCCATTCCATTGTGGCCAGATACGTGCCCCCTAACCTGCTCCTTTAATTACACATTCTAGTGTCTCTGTCCAGTCAGAGTGAACAAGTGGGGCTCAAGCGTCTACCCGGCCCAGGACTTTGCTCAGGTGTTGTGATGCAGTGTGGGTGGATATGACAGCTCAGCAGTGTTTGATTTGTGTCCGACTCTTAGTTTTGTCTCTTCCGTTATTTTGCCCTCTTATACCTCTCACCATCACCACCTTTTTCTTTTGAGACAGTGTTTCATAGAGCCCACGCTGGCCTTGAACTATTTTATAGCTGAATTTAGCCGTGAGTTACTAATTACAGGCATGCACCACCATCGCCAGTCCATTTGTGTGTGTGTGTGTGTGTGTGTGTGTGTGTGTGTGTGTGTGTGTTTGTCTGTGTATGTAGGGACTTACTAATCATAATGCATTAACTAAAGTTATATGCTAACAAGTCCTAAGAGCTGCAGTTGACAGTGTTAAGTACAAGGACTTATGGTGCTGTTCGAGTCCAGTCATCAGCTCAGGATCAAAGAACTGCAGTTTCTCCTTGAAAACAGCTGTCAGAGCTCCCTTCTCCCTGGAGGGCCCCTCTGTAATGGAGGATAATCTTTGTTACTCACTCTTACTCAAATACCAGTTTCACCACCGAGTATCCACATAGACATATTTATAATAAGAATTGACCGAATATTTGGGCTCCTTTATCCCAGTCAAGATGACATAAAAAATTGAAAACAGTATGATTTCTCACCACAGAAACAGTTCTGTGAAAAGCTTTTCTCAGAAAAAAATGTCTCCATCAACATTACATGTTTAAAAGATTGACTTAGGATCTCTGAAAAAGTACAAGAAAGAAAAAAAAAAAACACAACAGCTAATGGCAGGTGGGGACCATTCATCAGAAAATGAGAGAGTATCATGAGATTTTTTTTTTTTATACATGACATACATGAAAAAAAATTTCCAAGCATAGCAGCAAACCCTAACAAATCACTGAAAAAACAGCAGGAGAATAAAACAGCACTAACAGAATTACAAAATGAGTGGTAAAACAAGGTAGTCAGTATAAACATAAGTGTAAGAGTTCACAGCATGGAATAATTCGTAAGTTGACTTTAAAATAGCTATATATAAAATATGTTCAAGAAAGGAGATGTGGTGAAGAATTTGAACAAACAACTATTTTATACATAATAATCAAGTAGAATTTTGAAAAATTAAATTACCAAAATACTTAATAGAAAATTTTACCAGCATATTAGAAACATGTAAATACACAACTAACTAAACAAAAAAAAAAAACAAAGATTAGGTTTGGACAGAGCTCCAGAGAAAAGCTAAATCAAAACAAAAAAGAGGGCCTAAAGTTGCGGGAGACATGACATGATGACAAGAACAAACATGCAACTATGTTTTCCCAAATGGAGAGGTGAGGGAGACTGTCACAGAGACAGTAGTTGAAGAGTTGATGGCCTGAATTACCCAAAGCCTGTGTCTCTGTGTGTATGTAAACAGCCATATATTTTTAAATGCCTGAAACTATGAAGGTGCTCAGTCATGGAACTACCCAAAGCAGGAACCAACTAGAATCCTAAAAGCAGCCAGAGAAGGCAGATGGTGCTCAGGGGGTAAAAGACTGAAAGCTGAACTCTGAGTAGGAGAGAAGAAAGAAAGCAATCCAAGAGAAAAAGAAATGGCACTTTCCAAACACCGAAACAAAGTAACTGCCACTGTAAAATGTGAATGTTAAGTTTCATAAAGAAACCTGTAAATAAAATACTTCAGGCACATCAGTCATGTCACATTTTCAATGGATCATGACTTAGCTTAACAAACTATAGTTGGTTGTTGTTTTTTTTTTTTTCTTTAGCATGTTGAAATAGAAATCAACAGTGGGAAGTTTGTTTTGAAATGTTTGAGTGTGTGTGTGTGTGTGTGTGCGTGTGTGCGTGCGCGCTCTCGCAGGTGTACAAGAGGCTAGAGGTTGACAGTGGTATGTTCCTCAGTAGATCTTTCTCCCCGTCCCAACCCCCTTTTAAGCTCAGGTCTCTTGCTGAAGTTGGATGGTGCTCACTGCTTCAGCTGGACTGGATGCCCAGTGAGCAACAAGGATCCTTACGTCACCCTATGCTGGAGTTACAAGTTCCGTGTGCATGCTGCCACACCTGTCCTTTTTACATGTGTACTGAGGCCCAGAACGCAGGTGTTCATGATGCACAGCAAAAAGTTATTGACTGAGCCATCTTCTCAGCCTCAAATTTAAATTTAGTTACAAATGTTTATATTTAAAATGAAAGAGCCTCACTTTAAAATAATATATTTTACAGATAAAGTTATATGATTAAAATGCATTTTTTTTCCTGGAAGACAAGTGACAGAAGATTGCTCTTGAGAGATGGGAGTCATTGAAGTTGAGTGTTGGGCTCATGAGAATTCACTTACAGTATCTATTTGTTTATAACCGTTAAGTACATTATTTAATTTTCTACATTCTGTTGGACTGATATTCATCTGTATGCAGTTTCCTCTTATTTTTATGATCTTCAGTTTTATTATATAATGTAGATAGCTGGCCTACCTGCCTGTTTGTCTGTACATCATGTGCCAGTGGAGGCCAGAAGAGGGCACTGAATCCCCGGTGGGAGTGCTGGCTGTTCTTCAGGGGATCTGGTTTTGATTTCTAGCCACACACATGGGGGCTCACAACCAGTTTTGTTTGTGCTTGTAATTCTTTATAAATTTTAAAAAGTTAACAGGACATTTGCAGAAAAAGAGGGTAGGATGGGAGAGGAAGAAGGAAGAAAAGAAAAAATCTGTCCTGCAGAATTGGGTGATCGTTCTCAAGTTGTGGAAAAATAGTCACAATTAGAACCAATTTCATGTAGAGCTTGGGGAAAAGCAAAGAAAGTGGAAAAATTCAAAGAGCTCATTATTACCAAGTTCTTCAGTGTGGTGTGGAATAATAACATTTTTAGTGAAAGATTATACATTATTAGATGGAAAAATAGGTGTTAAGTATTGTAGTGTCCTGTTCCTAAAAGCCACTCATGCCTTCAAACTCCCTTCCAGCTCACTGCATTGTATGAGAGCTTAAGCTTGCGCAACCAGCACTTGGAAGAAGAGGTCAAAGACCTAGCAGACAAGAAGGAGTCAGTTGCCCACTGGGAAGCCCAGATCACAGAGATCATCCAGTGGTGAGTGCTCTTCCAGACTCTACGCTGGGGTCGTGGGCTATGACAGGGTTGGTGTTACTGAGTGCCTAGCCCCCTTCATCATCTTCATCCGCCATGAAAATGAAATTAAGCTTTCTAAGATTGGAAAGGTGAGCCTTTAAGGAACTGAAGAAATGTTCCCACTTGCTTTTGATATTCTCTGAGATAAATTCTGCTATATTTATGAGAAAAATGTAGAAGATGACAGTATTGTTTATAAGTATATCAGTTCACATACAGCATTTTTAAAGTCTTAAATTGTTGGGGCTTAGCTTCACAAATTATTTCCTGTACTTTCAGGACTAATTTGGAATATTTGGCCTATGAATTTTGTCATCTTAATTTGCTAAATGGTTGTTACCATGCTTATAAAAATTTGCATGTTTTATACTACATGGAGAAAGTGGATTCCAGTGAAGACTTTTATTTCCTAACAACTTTTATATTTCTTTTTATATTTTTTTAAATCTCTGCCCATTTTAACCTTTATGTCAAAAAAGCTAGTTCATATATATATATATATATATATATATATATATATATATATACACACACACATACACAAACCAGTTAATTATTTATTGAGGATTTTAATTTCTTGTTATATCAGCTTAATTTGTTTTCTGTTTTTCTTTATATAGTTTTCTAACCCCTTCTTAAAAGTGAATAAATTTTAAGTAATTTTGCTCTAATAACTCAAATATATCTCTACTGATCTAACTGTAGAGTTCTTCTGATATGCCCAGATTGTAGAAATTTACTTGTGTTCCAGAAAACAGACCTGTTAGTTTATCAGTGTTTAATTCATATCCACATACTTGGGCTTACATTTAAAAGGGAACATTTTAACATGTATCCAAATTTACAATGGTGATGAATAGTAATAAAGGATAGGCCTGAAAAATTGCTTTATAAGCTGTTCTTCCAAAGCCTGTGATCCTAGAGCACACTCTGTTTTCGAGTGACTATGACAATGGGAAATCCTGATGAAGGAAGGAAGAAAGGATCTTTATTCATTTATTCATTCAGTGATTCATTTGTTCATTTTTAAGTTCAGCTCTCAGCATGTCCTCAAGGCTCACGTCAAATACTTGGTCTTTCAGAAGGGAAAAGGTGTCATCATCTATACACTGCAGTGAGACAACTGCCACACTAATAAAATAGACTTAGATGTCACAGTGAAACATGGTTCATTTATTGACTGGCCCGTAATTCAGTTTGAAATAACTAGAAATTCCAACAGTAGGACATTTGCTTTTTTAGAAAGTGTATATGTATGTGTGTATGCTAGAGGCTGACTTTGGGTTTTCTCCTCAGACATTCTACCTTTTTAAAAAAAATTATGATTTAACAAATTTTCAGTTTAAAATCATAGTGGTTTTATCAGCTGTGTGATCTTAAGATAGTAACTAGAAACTGTACTTGGATTTCTTTAAGCTTTAACCTTTATTTTGTTATTAATATTTTTAGAAAGCAGGGATGCTGTTATAGCATAACCCTGATTTCTGCAGAATATCATATTTTACATTTTCTAAACTTTAGCTGTGAAGAAAGTATGTGTGTTTTGTGAAATAAAATGTATCTAGATAATGAGAAATCCTAGTAGTCTTCAGCAAGCCTTGTGCTTGTCCAGTGTGGACTCTAACGGGTCGACGTTTGTGGTGTACTGATTTATCAGCTGTCATTACTTGGGCTTTCCTGCCGCTCTGCCAGCTTCCTGGCACATAGCTGCATAGTTAGTGAGTCTGTTCCCACCTCTTGACAGGTGCAGTAGTAGTGTGGCCAGTCTTTTAAGAGCTCTTCAAGTATCTCTGTAAGTCTTTGGCACTCTGCTCTTAGTGAAGCTTTAAATTATGTGCACCACTGAATTTTTTCCTGTGGTTCACTTCGCACCTCATGTCCACCTGTGTGTTCTAGGGTGAGCGATGAAAAGGATGCGCGAGGCTATCTTCAGGCCTTGGCCTCTAAAATGACTGAAGAATTGGAAGCGTTAAGAAACTCCAGTTTGGGGACACGCGCAACAGTAAGCTCTGGCGTTTCACATGAAGGCTCATCTCTTTAACAAGCAGAAAGACATAATAAGTGACTGCTATAAAAGTTTCCATGAGAAATAACTTAGTATAGGTCTTTTCTAGTTGAAGAAAATATAACATGTTACTGTTAGCTGGTATTGTATAGCTAGTCATTATTGGAGGAAGTGAAAAGAAAAACCGTTATTTATGACCATGCATGCATATTTACTGTTATTTCTGGATTTAATGAAGAATGCATTTTCATAAGTTATGTGTCAGTTGCACTCATTTATCAGCAATATTGCTTATAAAATAGATGCTAGTTGATTTGTATTATGAAATTTAATATTAAGAATAAAATAGGATCTAAGACATGACCATTTAATTCTGTAGGATATGCCCTGGAAAATGCGTCGTTTTGCAAAACTGGATATGTCAGCTAGACTAGAGTTGCAGTCAGCGCTGGATGCAGAAATAAGAGCTAAGCAGGCCATCCAGGAAGAGCTGAATAAAGTGAAGGCGTCCAACATCATCACAGAATGGTAAGGCTCGTGATGTAGTCCTCACAGTGCTGGAAACTGTGACAGAAATTATGTGGTTAGTTCCTAACTGATGTTCTTGCTTTTTTATTTTTAAACAACAACAACAAAATGGTGACCAGAAGATTGGGAATACGATTCAGAATCTAGTGCTTGCCTGGCATGCTCAGGGTCCTGGGTTTGAGTCCCAGTTCTGCCTGCTCCCCACCCTCTAGCAAAAGTGATAAAAAGGCTTGGGGAGAGAGCTTGGTCCTTAAAGCACTTGCCTCATAAGCATAAAGACCTAAATGTGAGCCCCACATTGAAATAAAAACTTGCTGGGAGCCATGGCCTCAGCCTATAATCCCTGGAAAGGCAGAGACAGGAGGATTCCAGAACCCCCCTGGCTAGGCACCTAATCAGATAGATCAATGAGCTCCAAATTCAGTGAGAAGCTTTGTCCCCAAAAGCCGGGTGCAGAGCTTTTGAAGAAGATGCCTGATGTTGACCTTTGTCCTTTGTGTGTGCACACACACACCTAGACACACGTGAAGTGGGGACCAGAGAAAGATGTGAAGATTTGAAAGGGAAAAGATAGAGTTCTAGTGAAAGCCTTATACAGACCTGTTTTCTTCAGGCTTATGGGCTGTTAGTTTTAAATAATATGCCATTCTTCATTTTTCTCCTTATTTATAAAGTTTAATTAACTCAAATTTTATTCTATTAAATCTAAAATTCTCTCACATTATGTATAGAATGCAACTCTACCACCAGAACAAAATATAAACATCTGAAAATTACAGCCTCTACCATGGGTCATTTTATTAATGTTAAAATTTGGGGGTGTTTGTTTGAGATGTTGAGTCTTATAATGGTAAAATAATTATGATTATTTTCCAGGTTCCTTTATTTATTTAAAAATAAGCAAACACCTCTCCAGGGCAGTTAGCTAATAAGCATTCTCACCTGGATTCTTGTCACAGCAGTAAAGCAAAGTCTATTTCAGATACATAAATGATAAAATGAAATTTTTAAATTGGATTAGAAATAGAGATGGTTTAAAAATAAGTCACACAATTAGAACGATGGCCCAGCAATTGGGAGTTCTTAAAGGTTTTATAGGGGACCAACATTTGATTTTTAGCACTCAGATCAGGCACCTCACAATTGCCTGTATCTCTAGTTACATAGAATCCAAAACATTTGGGCTTCCACAGGGAATTTGCATGCATGTGGTACACATAAATTCATACAGGCACACATACATAGATGTGAATAAAGATAAATAAATCAGTTAGTGGGTAACATAGTGCAACAATTGTGAGTTTACATTAAAATGAAACTATAAATTTAAAAATTCATCTGGCTCAAAAATATCAAAACTTGCAAAAGCGTGAGAAGAAACACAAGGCTACAAATTTAGTTTTGAGTGGTGAGATGCCTTAAGACTTAAGGTATAGCCATTATTTTCTATCAAAGGGCAGACACACTTTTCTTGAATTCTGAACATTTTGTTGTAAATGGCATAGGCACACATTAAGTGTTGTTCTTAAATATGCTTTATGAGGCATTGAAAGAGAAATGAAGTAAATCTTGCATAAGGAACTACTGAATGTCATTTTCAGTATTGTAATTTGGGTTTTTTTCTTCCTTTCCTAAGGACATTGGGGTTTACACATTTGCTCATAAAGCAGAACTGGGTCAGATTGAAAGATAAACTCATGTATGTGGGCTAGCTACATGGTGATATATGGACAAAGCCTAGCAGAATTCTGAAATTAACCTTTGCCTTCATAATATTGTTGAATGTATTAATCCAGCTCAGGGTCAGCACACTGCTCTATGGGGCCCATGTGGCCTCCTTCTCTGCTCCTGCCTGTGCTCACAGCGCGGCAGCAGTCCTGGCCTTACAGTTCTCTGCTGGGAGGGAGCCAGTGCTTTCTTCACACATGACAGGCAAGTCCTCTGTGACTGAGCTGCACCCCAGCCCGGGCAGCCATTTTCTTCACGGAAATGAATGAGCCCAGCTGGCTTTATCAATTTGCACAATAGCAGGTGGCAGGCAATAATTGTCTTGCATGCAGTAATTTACAGTCTTCTAATTTAGCATCACAGACATTTAAACCAAAAAAGCCCAGCTACACAAAATTAACGACTGTTTTCCTTTCCCTACTTATTTAAGTAAACTGAAAGATTCAGAGAAGAAGAACTTGGAACTGCTGTCCGAAATTGAGCAGCTGATAAAGGACACTGAAGAGCTTAGATCTGAAAAGGGTATGAGAATGTGTGTTTGCGTCAGGACTTGGTGTTCTGAATGTCCTTTATTGCATGACAGCCAGCTTACTGCATAGATGGAAAGTTCTTCACATCAGCAACCACACATGCAATGTCCGTGAATACATACAGACATAGGCACATGCGAGTGTATGCACAAACACACACACGTACATACATGTACACATTTGTACATACATGTGCACACACACATGCAGACTGGCTGAATTATGTGTGTAAGTTAATATACATCATATTAAGAATTTTTAGTTACAGATATGAACAAAGTCTAACAGAGTTCTAAAATTAACCTTTGGTTTCATAATACTATTAAATTTAATAATGTAGCTCAGGGTTATAAATTTGACTGTTTAACTGTTACAGAGTATTTCCTGAGTAACTTTTGTGATTGGGCTAACAGTATTTTGTGATGTATTTATAATGTTCGCACATGTCATGATGTGGTCACTTCAGCAGTGGTGCTGTATGTTAGCATAAGAACTTAGTGAAGAAACTTGAAAAGGGGGAGGTTGCTTTTGAGACAGGGTCTAGCTGAGTAGCCCCATGGTGTCTGTGAGTTCAGAATCCTCTCTCCCTAAGTGCTGGGATTACATTCTTTAGCACTTTCTGTGTGCCTCCACTGTACAAAATCTTGTGGGTACAGGAAGGACAGTCAAGGAAACAATATAAAATATTTAAGATGACCAACTCCTTATTAATAATTTTAGTAATGAGGAATTATCTTTTTCCAGTTTGGTGCTTACATTGCCTATTCTATGAGATGTCTCAGAATTCATTAGTATTTTCTTGAGAACTTTCGTTTTTCTTTTTACATGGAACTAGCTCAGAGCATGTCATAACCCCATGACATTAATTTCTTATGCAATTTTTCCATAATGTAGACATTATAAGGGAGATAGATGATTTAGTAAAAATAAATTCAGAATATGACTTATTTTATTAAAGAGACATTTTATATACAATTATCAAAAATCCATTTTTCTGACAAAGGCCACCATCAATTACTGGGTTAGTTAATGGGCTTTGTATTGGGCTAAGGGTTTCTCTGTCATTTCCCATCTCCATAGCACAAAGAAGGATAAAGCCGGTTGGGTCTCTGTATCAGTTGTACTGTGGAGAACAGAGGAATAACAGAATGGCCCTACAGTATTTGATGGTACCTTTGTTGTTGTTGATTGAATTTCTTAATGCGCAAATATGAATAGGAACTCATATTATGCTTGTTTTTAACTTGTGAACAGTAAGGGCAAAGTATATTAAGGAAGAAAAACTATTTAACACATGAGTATCTTAGGGTCCTAAAAGCAATTCAGCTAGAATGATACCTGTGCCAAATAAAAGTGGCAGATCAAATTGACTGCATTATTTTTAGATTACATCCAAACTTAAAAATAAAAGGCTTTCATATCCATAGTGCCGTGCTTTATGAAAACATATTAAACACAGGCTTTCTTACTTAGAATATTCCAAAATTTCATTGTGTTACAATATAATATAATGTGTTATCCAATATGTTTACAAAATGAGGGCAAAGATCTTTTCTATACTGTTTTATTCCCAGTATCTAGGAAAGTATCTGCTACAACATAGGCTCTCGTAAAAACCATTCATGGGGGGGGGGGGTGTGCCAAGGTGCACATGTAGAGGTCAGGGAACAACCTTCAGGGTCTAGTTCTCTTTCCCCACGTGGGTCTTAGGGATTGAACTCAGTTCGTCAGGCTTGGCATGAGAGCCTTTAGCCGCCTCAGTTGTTCGTAATAGGCTCATAATAAACATTCGTTGACTAAATACCTTTCTGAACTGCCTATTTGATAACTATGATATATTAGAATAATAATGTTGAGAAGCACAAAAATCAGTGATGGGGAGATGATTCACTGTGTAAAATGCTTACTTTGCAAGCATGAGGACTGAATTCCCCATATTCCCATCTCTGAGGGGTGGTAAACCTATGATCTTGGCCCTGGGAGACAGTGGTATGGGGGGGGGGGGTGACGGTGAGAATCCCTGGAGTTCACTGAATCCCTGGAGTTCACAGCCATTCTAACCAAATGGCGAGCTCTAGTTTTTTTGAGAGACCATGGTTCAAAACCGAACAAGACAGAATGGAGAGCAATAAAGGAAGACACCTAGCCACCTCTGACCTGTAAATGCCCATGCAGGGGCATGCATGTAAACATAGATGCCCTGTGCTAGGAGAGGGGCGGAGAAACACAAGCCAGTTGATAACTCTTCAGTAGAGAAAATTCAAAGCTGTGTAGTAGGGCTGGGGAGATGATTGAGCAGTTCAGAGCCCTGGCTGCCTTTTCTAGGGGATCAGGTTTAATCTCAAGCACCCACACTGTAGCTCCCAACATTCTGTAACTCCAGTCCCAGGGTGCTGACGCCCTCTTCTGGCCTCCTTAGCCACTGCATGCATGTGCTGCACAGACAGACATGAAGGGAAACACTCAGATATGTCAAACTTGACATTTTTAAAAATCATATGATGGGCTAATTTTGCTTTATCTTCCCTATAAATACTTCCCTAGTATTTATCATTATTTTTATGTTTTGAGACATTTTTTGAGATTATGTATTTAAACTTATTATCATAGCCAAATGGCATATGAGAAATACTCATCTGAGAAAAACTGAATTTTGGATTCTCCATTATTCAGTAAAATAATATCTAAAATGGGAAAAAATGAAATTAAGATACTTATTTTATTACTCTGTTATTTATGAAATGAATACTATATTTTATAAATGCTGAAAAGCTTATTTTAAAAATGTATTTCAAAAGAGGTACCTTGTTTGAGTGGTAAATGAGTTTATAAAACAGCTTCTAGTTTTAGATTTTTAAAATTTCTCAAAATTATTATATTTTATTTTATTATAATATATTAGGTCAGTGGTTTTCAACCTTGTGACCCTTTAATACTGTTCTTTATGTTGTGGTGACCCTAACCATGAAATTATTTTTGCTGCTACTAGTAACTGTGAATTTGCTGCTGTTATGAATCATAATGTAAATTTCTGGCATGCAGGGTATCTGATCTTGACCCAGTGAAAGGCTTTTCAACTCCCAAAAGGGTCACAGTCACAGGATGAGAACCACTGAACTAGACAAAAAATTGTGCTGACTAGTGACCCGGAGAACTGTCTTAGAAACCAGTCTAGTTTGGCCGTTGGGTCTGGGAAACACTAACGTATTTTGGTTTTTAACTACGTAGAGCTAATGCAATCAGCCTCGAAACATAGTAGTTTATTGTAAAACACTTTAGTAGATTGAGACAGGGGAGGTTATCCATGAAAATTAGTTTTAATTGTTCTACTTCAAAAAAAGTTGCTGCTGTCTTCTAGGTATAGAGCACCAAGACTCACAGCATTCTTTCTTGGCATTTTTGAATACGCCTACCGATGCTCTGGATCAATTTGAAGTAAGTAACTGCTCTGAGTACCTTCTGGGGTCAATTTAAAATTCACTCTGGGATCTAAAATTTACATGCAATGAAGCTTTTATTGCAGCCACATAAGAGAACCTAGAATCATATAAATAAGTGAACAGGACATGTAAGGGAGGAATATGTGTGCATTCTTATGGAAAGTATGACCACATTTGTATGTAATAAAAACATCTAAGTCTGAATCAAAAGTTGTTATTAGACTTAGAGGCAATTTCACCCCCCAAGAGACAGTGAATGCAGAGCAAACCCCAACTTTTGAAAACAGTTTTCTTTTCTGTAAAGCTTTGAGACACGTAAAAATAAGTGAAAGTATGAGCACTCACTGTAGCTCACCACTGGCTCATGTATGCAACAGGAATGTGCTTCAATAAAAGTGTTAGCCTACACTCTGTTAGCTGTACTCTGAAATAGTGATTTTGTAGCTCTTTTTCATTCTTTACCTTATTATTTAAATATTTTGCTGAAAAAAAATCAATATAATGTCAGAGTATGTTTTAGGTCAGAAAATGTAAGTTATTGTGTGTCACTTCATTCGGCAGTTAGAAGTCCTGGGCTCTGCTGTAAGTACTGGAAGCATGCAGTGACCTCAGGAGACAGGTTCCCGCTCAGACTCTTATATTCCAGCAGGAAGAATTAGAAGCAGAGATTCTAATGACCTATTTTAGTTGTTATTTTCAAAGGTGTACCATTAATTTAATTATCAATGATTTGCGTCAGCTTTCATTTTACTACTTTGGGAACAGTAGCTGAATTTCATTTCTTTGGGGAAGGGAAAAAGAATCACTCTTTGGAAAGTAATCCCTAAGTTTGTTGACAAAGGTAATAGTGACTACTTGTCTCATTTGTTTACTTGAACAAATGCCATTTGCCTTTCAATTGTTTTACAAAATTTTGATTTATTATTTGTTTGTATTAAATTGCTTCATCCATATTTTCTATTTTTTTTATTGCTGAATTCGTTAAATAGGATTCCTTTTCTTCTTCCTCATCCTCACTGATTGATTTTTTGGATGACGTAAGTCTTTGATTTTCAAACCAATGCATCCTTCAGTAAAAAAGATCAGTGAATTGATTTGAAGAATTTGTCTAGTAATGCAGTCAGTTTTGGAAATATCACTTGGAAATTTATGTGATCCAAATGCTTCCTTCTTATCTTAAATATAATAGTCTATCATTATTAAGTGTAATAAAGTAAAAAAAAAAAACTTTAAAAAATGCTTTGGCCTTTGGCACATCTCTTTGCAAGAAAGACTAGAATGCTTTAAGTATTGTCACTATATATGATAAGTTGTTCATTTTTGTTTTTCATGGTTTCTATTTTATTTTGTTCTTTTCTTTTTAGCACCTTGCTCTTTCTGTGTTGGTTTAAAATAAGCCTCTGATGGCGTAATCAAAAAAGTGACATTTTAAAAGTTAAATTCTGATAATTTTATCGTAACACAGAATATAAATCAATTTTCAATGTGGACAGATTTCTAATGTGGAAAGTGATTTTACACAAATGTATGCACTGTATGCCTCATAAATTATCTGCATTAGTATATTCCATCTGAATTAATTCTGAGAGTTTAATCATTTAGAAGTTTCTAGTGTGTCTGATACATTCGTTTTCTATCTTCACTGCCAGTTATATACATACTCTGTTTTACTTTAGATGAATCACTAATCCTTGACATAGATTTTTGATATCCTGTTGAACATGCAGACTTTGCAAAATTAAAAAGTTAAAGAGTTTAAGTGTAAATAATATACATTAAAGTATTTTAAATGAGGGGAAATTCATTAAATATTTTAATTTTAATATTTTGTTAAAGTACAATATCATGCTTACAAGATGACTTCAGCATAATTTTCCACTGAAATTTTTTCTTTATATAATTTTTTTCAAATTCCTGAACAACAAAGAGGCTTTTGGGTATGTTTGGAAATATATCAAAACCTGTTTTCCTCCAAAATGGACATTTTTGTTGTTGTTCTTAAAACAATAACTTTTGCTGGGTGGTTCTTATAGTGTAATTGAAAGGCAACTACCCTAAAAACATCACATTGCATGTTGCAGTCTGCTCTTCGGTGAGTTTAAAACAATATTGTATCATTAGAAAGAATAAAGAGAAAGTTTGAGAAATTACAGAGTTCTTTTTAGTGATAAACTATTTTCACTTTTTCTAAACAAACTCCTGCCTGCATCTTCTTTCCCAAAAACACTCAGATCATCAGATACACTGAGAGCAGTGTGTATTTCAGCAAATGAATGAACTCTTCTCCATAGAGAGCTGTGAAGTGTCTCCTTCCTACTTGCAGGAGAGCTCTGGGGTTGCTTCTCCAGATGTAAGGAAAGTGCACCCAAGTCATAGGCATTTCCCAGCCCTGTTTTCCCTTTCTGCTCCCCCAGCACAAGCTCATCTTGAGCACAGAGCTGCATTTTATAATAGGGCAATGGAAAGGAACGGAGTGTGCAAAAGCTGCTGAGTCTTTCCTCTGCGTTACAGTTTTTCCAAGGCCTCTCATAAGTTGCCTATTCCGTTTTCCAGCATGGAGTTTCAAAGAGATTACCTGGCCTTTCAATGGCTAGGTTTGCTCATCTGACAGAGTTGTAGTTTTGGTACTACTCTCATAAAGTCATTTGACCATTTAAAGCAATTGTTTATGCCTTCAAGAATTTCTTAATATTTCTTATGAGGTTGGTTCTCATAATTTACTCTTTAGCTTCATTTCTTGACTGCAGCGTTACTTCACTTAAATGCTTTCTTCCATCCGCTCTGATAATATGAACCACAATACCTTCTTTGAAATTGTCAAATCCCATTATTTTGGGGAAATGACTTTTTTTTTTTTAATTGGAGGGAGGGCTAGCAATAAGCTCCCATTTTTAAAAAAAAGTTTTCTGTTCTTAATTTATACTTTATGATATAAGCTTCTTGTTTCTTTTGTCATTGTTCATAACTATGACCATGTTTCCCAGTGTTAGCTGTTCACTCGTTTTGTCATTAAAGTTATAGTAAAATTAGATTTCAGTGGAAGCATTAACTCTTTGATAGGTGTATGTTCCACATCTAAGATGCTGTGAAACCCAAGCTCAGTAGCTCTCTTTGTAGGCACTTAGACTTTTAAGGGATAATTGACTCTTGATCATTCTTTACCCTACACCTGGTTATGTTATGCATCTTGCTTACACTGTGTGACGTCCCTTCATTACATAGCTTCTGCTGCTTAGCGAACCTCAAATGCCATCCTTCCGGCCATCCTCTTCTGTCTTCTACTATTGCTACAAAGAAGAATGTTGGAGAGCTGGCATTTAACTGCAGCTGGGTCCTCCGTGTTTGAGACAGAGGAAACATTGTGTTGAGCAGAGTCAGAGGTTCAATTTGTGTTCCATCTACATATCATCTATCTTCTCAGTGCCTCCCACACAAGGCCCATGTTCCCTTCAGGATTCTCAGTTGCACTGCTGGTAGCCCTCTCCCAAATTCACCTTCTGCTCCTCTACTTTTATTCTTTTATTTCGACCTATGAGAACTATCATTTCACTGGGCATGGTGGTGTACACCTTTGAGTCCGAGGACAGCCTGGTCTACAGAGCGAGATCCAGGACAGCCAGGGCTACACAGAGAAACCCTGTCTCAAAAACCAAAAACAGAAAACAAACAAACAAAAGAAACTATCATTTTATTATTTAAAACAACACAGAATCATTCTTCTATTCACAATTTTTCCTCAGTTTGTGTTGTCTATTCATTCACAATTTATATGAGTTCTGGAATTTTTATCAGGATGAGAAGATGGTAAGAACAGTATGCTTCTTTTAAGTCAAGCTGTGTAGTCACTCCTGTGTATAAGAATAGCTTTGGCGTAAGGGAAGAAGCCTGTGTAATTCCAGTCTTTTGCTCCCAGGAAAAAAAATCAGGCAGAGCTGGGTGTGTGCTCAGCACTCTGAGGCTGTAATGTAAGGAATAAGCTATGTGGGCTACTTACTCACAGAGTGTGGACTACAAAAATACTGAGTACAGTAATACTCAGTAAATAAATAGAAAGCCTTTGTTTATCACATCTTCCTGCTTATAAGAGTAACTTTATCAAGAGTGACTTTTAGGGTTTTCAACTCTAGGGAAGAAGGGAAGTATAGATAAAGGATTTGCTTAGCATCCCTTAGGACACATAATGGGGGCAGGAGCTCCACAAGGGAAGAAAAAAAATCTGGGCCCAGGGGTCTTTTCTGAGACTGATAATCCAACCAAGGACCATTCATGAAGATAATCTAGAACCCCTGCACAGATGGCAGTTCAGCATCCAAGTGGGTTCCCTAGTAAGGGGAGCAGGGGCTTTCTCTGGCATGAACTCAGTGACAGGCTCTTTGATCCTCCTAATGGGGGAGCAGCCTTGTCAGGCCACAGGAAGACAATGCAGCCAGTCTTGATGAGACCTGATAGGCTAGGGTCAGATGGAAGGGGAAGAGGACCTCCCCTATCAGTGGAGTTAGGGAGGGGCATGGGAGGAGGAGAATGAGGGAGGGTGGGATTGGGAGGGGCTGAGGGAGGGGGCTACAGCTGGGGTGCAAAGTGAATAAACCATAATAAAAATAAATAAATAAAAATTAAAAATCTATTAAAATTAAAAAAAAAAAAAAGAAATAGAGGGCATCATGACAGGAGGCCTCTTAGGAAAGGCATTCCTGTACTTAAATAGCAATAGAACAAATCACATAATCCCTTCTTCTGTGAAATCACTATCTCTTCTACCTTTATCCTTTCACTCAACTCCATACATATCATGTACCCAGTCCTGGTTAGTTCAGATTAGGTCTGGTCTCATGAGCTGTGTATCCACCATAATGAGGACAAGTAGAAATTGAAGTTCTAGTATCTGAAGTTGAGATGTGAAAGAAGATATTGTATCCATAGTCCAGCTTTCTGTCCACCTAATACTGCAAACAAGAGAAATGGATTATCTCAGCAGTCAGAGTTTAGGCATAAACTTTAGTGTCATATAAAAGCTCAGTGATGTGCTGCAGAATATTGAATCTCAGTAACTGTTCCTCCCACCATAGTGTCTTGATGTTACCATTGGTCTCGCTCACTGTCTCATTACCATTCTCTCATAGCCAGTCTCGAGATGAAATGTCGTCAGGGTGGACAGTAGACAACTATGTGTTTGTTTTTCTCTGCTGTCCGTGCTGATGATCTTAAAAGTCACCTTTGAAAAGAGTAGGAGTAGATAGGTAAATATATAAAGCAAAGCTGCTTAAGTATATATTTCATGGTAATGTATGTATATTGGTAGGGTTCAAATAAGTATTTTTTAAGTAATTGCAAACAGTAGGTCAAAATTAAATAGAGCGATCGTTATTGTTTGTTGATGATGTGTTGAAATTGCCCACTACTTGATGAATGCTGCTGTGTGACTCACTCATTGTGCATGTGTCACTGAGAACCTCAGCCTAAGACCACACCTGAGCGTTGTCTCCTTACTGATTTTATCCTGCAGTTTTTCCTGGACATAGATGTACTTGAACATATCAAAACAGTGGCTTTGTGCTTATATCTGTATCTCTGTGCTGATACAGAGGGTGTGAAGCCTTTCTTGTGAGTGTGTGTAACGTGGTGTTCTCTCTCTGTTGAAGCACTCCCCGTCCTGTCCTCCAGCTAGCAAAGGCAGACGTGTAAGAGCCTCTCGCACTGCGTGCTGTCCCACTGCCCACCGCCCACCTCCTGTTCTTTGCCTTTGGCTGCAGAGCCCTCGAGCATGCGCCACGTGTCATTCACCACTGCATGCATGTGCTGCTGCTCTTGCCACCATTCCTCTTCTCCCTGTGTTTCTCTATTTATCCCTCCATTTGGCTTTGGCTGAGAGCTTTAGGAATGTTCTTCATGTAAATTTATACAACTAAGCCTCCAAAATAGTAAGATGTCTTTTACAAATATGCTTTCTAAGTTTACAAGGTAAATGAGTTCCTCACAGGGAATCTGATATAAGCAAATATGTAGAGTGCTGAGGCAGTTTATAGACTAGATTTTACATAGATCAGTTCTGGAAAATAATTTTAATAGTGAATTTTTTGTAATCTAAGATAATTTCAAGATTTAAAAAGATTCTTTCTATGCATTATTAACACTGGAAACATCTTCCGTTGCCAGCTAACTCCACGCTTCTTGATCAGCCATTTCTATCGTGTGGCTCTGATATGGCCTGGCAGGGAGTTAGGGTGTTCAAAGGTCACAGGCTTTTATAAACCAGCCCCTGTGACACACCACAGAGGAGCACAGTTCTCCACTGCTGTTGGACTGGCTTTACATATATGGTATTCAACAGCACTAAGGGACACTCCCGGGGGGTACAGGCCTTCAGCTTCCACCTGTCGGCCTCAGAGTTCCTAGGTAGGGAAAGGTTAAGATGAAGCACTTCCTGGTGAACATGGTACCTAGTAGAATGGCCACGGACTCCGGCATTCTTCTGAGCTGATGAAAGGCTGTTTCGCATAAGCATGAATAACACTAGCATTACAGATAATTTTAGACAGCTACTGTTGAGTAATGCGTAGGCACTTCAGCTGGCATTGTTGTACTCGCTAGATTGAGTTTATCTGAACTGTTGGTTAGTCTATAAAAGATTCCCTGTTCTATAGATGTCTTGACTGGTTGGAAATGTATAGAGTTAGTTAAGCCATTAGGTACTTGGATCTGTGAAACTAATCTTGGAGTAGGGCAGCTGTTTTGTGATGGGAGGCCAACGTTTGTTTGCCCATCTGACCAGAGGAATTATGAGCCTGTGAGCTGAATGAATTTATGATGGCTTGTTTTAATAAGGTTGTAATTCAGAAAGGTTTTGTTTTATTGTTGATTTCACCATGTATTAGTTATATCTGATTAGTTAACCAGTGCATGTGAGAGATTTGACCACCTACTACATTTCATTGACTCAGAAAATAAGAAAAAATTGAGGGAAATAACTGCTTTGGGGTTCTTACTCTTAATCCTGTATCTTTATACTACGGCACCTAAATAAACCACTGTTTACCAGTTAAACCACTGTTTAACCTCTGAGCTTAAAATTGCATACGGTAGCTGACTTTTTTTTTTTTTAATTTGTAAAGTAGTGTGTTTGTAAAGGACATAATTGGAGAAATGTACATTAGGCAGTAGTTAAATCAGAACATTTTGGTGGCATAGTAAAAGTAGTCTTTGGGACACGATTGTAGCATTGTTATTTCAGTAGGACACAAATAGTTACCATTCCTAATCGTGGCTTTGAGTCTAACCTTGACATATGATTTCATATATATAACATGTTTTTAGATGGTTAAATGCTTTTATAAAATTCTTCCCCTTGAAATATCACAGAAATAAGTAAATGTCCTTATTTGCTTATATGGCCATTTCTGTGCTATTAGGCCTCATTTGCAGGTTGAAGACTTAAGGTTCTATTGAGTAGTATTTAATTTAAGCATATATAAGAAAAACTTATAAATAGTATTATTAATGTATGGCTACAAATGACTGGAGAGGATTCCATCTGATTCTTTTAATACTTAAAGGCGCAGACTGTCTCATTTCAGATTGTTCTTTTACAATTTGGAGCAGAGACTCTAAAGAGCTAACAGCAGAGTGCAGGTAATCATATGAAAGAAGGGGAGTTAGTATGACATGGAAAGGATAGGAGCTCCACAAGGACTAAATATATCTGGGCACAGGGGTCTTTTCTGAGACTGATACTCCACCAAGGATCATGTATGGATATAACCTAGAACCTTTGCTCAGATGAAGCCCGTGGTAGCTCAGTAACCAATTGGTTTCCCATAGTAAGGGGAACAGGGACTATTTCTGACAGGAACTCAATGGCTGGCTCTTTGACCTGGGAGGAGCAGTCCTGCTAGGCCACAGAGGAGGACTTTGCAGCCAGTCCTGAAGATACCTGATAAAACAGGGTCAGAGGAAAGGGGAAGAGGTCCTCCCCAATCAGTGGCCTTGGAAAGGGGCAGGGAGGACATGAGGGAGGGAGGGTGGGATTGGGAGGGAATGAGGGAGTGGGATACAGAGTTAATAAAATGTAACTAATAATAAAAACTAAAAAAAGAACTAACAGTCGATATTCAAGTCAGTATACTGAAAATAACTTTAAGATAAATTTCCATAGAGACTAATAAGTTATGTTATTTGTAACTAGTAAGATTATACTTGAAGCTGTGGCCTTAAGTAATTTGTTATAGGATAATACAATATTGTATTTAGTGTTTTCCAGATGAAATATTATTTCTGTAGTACTAGAGGTTAGCCATAAGCTCAGTTAACTGAAATAACTATCACTAAAAGTTTGAAGTATTCTGAATATAAAACATTAGCCTTTATTTCAAAAATGCATCTAGCTAAAAACAAATTTTATAATCAGTGGATTTTTATTTCAAATATTTTTATATTGATTCAAGCAATATATTATATGCAAACTGTTTTTACTAAATTGTCATTTGTTATCTATATCAATTGTCAATCTCCTTTACTTTATTTTTCTGTTTTATTTATATTTTAATTATTACAATGTATTCATTTTGTATCCCAGCTGTTGCCTTCTCCCTCGACCCTCCCAATCCCAGCAAGTCTCCTTTACTCTCAAACAAGTTGCATGCAAGAGTGCTGTGGCTTGTATGACTCTGCCGCCCTGCAATGTGTCAGGCACTGGTGAGGCATGCTCACGATGGGTTGTCTTAGATGCTGTTTACTGGACAACATGCTGTGCAATCTGAGGAGCTCTTGGTAAAATCATCTAAAAAAATCAGACAGTTGCCTGCTCCTGGAAAGAAAAATACTTTTGTCATACTACTTTAAAAAATACATTATGAGGATAATGTGCTAGAAAAATCTTAATACATTCAAAGACCATTATGGACTTCTTGCATGGCACTGTCATGCATTAGGAACAAAAATCAAAATATTCAGCTTTTTGTTATACATACACATACACACATATATATATGGTAGAACATAAACAAAACTGACAGTATATTAAATGACTTTTAATTCCTGCTCTACTACTTAAGAGAAAATGAACTAACAAAAATGAAAAGGTATTTTTACAAAAATATTCTTTCTCATTGGATTATAATTTTAAAATATTCAGTGAAATTTTTACACTCTTAGATTTCTAAGGCCTTTCTTTGAAGAAAACCAGAATATGACATCTATTAATAGTACGTGTTTCTGTTAGTAAAAAGAAACCTTTTTATCGTTATTTCTATAATCAACAAAACAACTATTAAATTGATGTAGCTCTGCTTTTTATGAATATAATATTTATTGATTTTTGCAACATTAGTAACTAATTAACTACTTAGACTTAATGCCATAATATCTTCAGGAGTGTCCATGGGTTAAGTACAGTAATAATGGTTACACTTGTTTTTATGCTTTTAGAATACTTGTGTCAAAATGTTATCTATTTGTGTGTGTATGAATTATTGTCAGCTAATCTCAAAATTAATCTTCAGTTTATTTAATTCTAGTACATAGAGTGAATATCCTGAAATTTTAATTGGATTAAGTGCTTTTTAATGGTAAGAATAAACCATTAATTACAAATACATGCTAAGGATTAGGACTTAATTACAGTTAATTATAGTTAAAATTATTAACATCTTGGGAAAACCACAGTCCTGTTGCTGATAACTAAAACTGTAATGAAGAGAATATGTGACATGTTTTGCTCGTTTGTCTTGTTAAACTGTGTTTGAGATAATATTAATACTGGCAGCAATACAGAAATGATATGGCAACGCAGTCTGTTTATTTCCATTGCTCTCTGCTTTTAATAGATTCTTTTTAAAAGACCTGCAACTTTTTTTTACGTTTGATGTTCAAATTCTTTTTGCCATGAGTGTTTCCAAGGAGCTTTGTTCCTTGCATTTATGAGAACTACACTAGAAAAGTAAAGTGGTAATCTTTAAACTTCATTATTTTAATATTTTTCAGAAATAATAATTTATTGTAAATCATATAGTTGAATTTTTAAATATTCCTATTTAATACCATATAAAATATTACTCCAACATAGTTACTTAATTTCTTCAAAAAAGAAAACTAATTTGATTTTTACATGAAATTGAATTGTAGTTTGAGAACATACAGCTCTAAAAAGCACATGTAGTGATTTTTGTTGTTCTCTTTTATTGTAATTAGTACTGGTTTGCCTTTCTAAAATATAACTGTATTTCTCAATATAGTCTGGGTTTACTTGCTACAGCTAAGAAAGTCATTTTTATTTCATTTTTGTTCTCTTTCATTTTTACTAATTGGTGAAAACTAGTTAAGAAGGAAGGAGAAATTAATACATGCCAGAAATTCTTCAAAAGAAAAAGGTTTCTAGTGATGGCTTCAAGAGTTATTAAAGTCACAAATTAAACTGATAATGGTGTTGTTTTGTTTTGGTTTTTTTTAAGTATCTTACTGCCATATCACATTTTTCATGGGAACATAAAACACACTAACAAATGTCTCAGCACCTGAGTCTGGTTTGGTTGGTGACACAGTGACGCTCTTAATGGGCTGCCAGTTCTGTGATGGGAACTCCTATTCACCCACATGCTGAGAAGATGGCGGAGCTGCATGCTCTGATTCTGACACTGGACTCTGATCCCTGTCTTTTCCCACTTAAGTCAATGTTAGTGGAAAACAGAAAGCTCTCTGCCCTTGATTTTAGAGATATTGAAATCACAGGACCTAGAGGTAAAAGTCAAATGGACTCTTTATTCCTATTCACAAAATGATCTTCTACCCAGGATTTTCTGTCCAGCAGTCAAACATTAGGACTCCAAGCTTTCATGATAGATTTTAAATAATTTAAAAATATTTTAAATTATTCTTAAAATAGCACAGTTTTCAATGTGTAACAAATCTTTCACTTGGACACTCAATAAAAACTTATGTGCTCGAGTCCATTTTAAGTTCTTACTGTAAAATATTTCAGGACTACATACTAACTTTGCAGTTTATGTAATTGAATAGACATTAGAAAGAGTAGAGTGTAGGAAGTGAGAAACACTCATGCTTTATGCAGCTAATAATCTAATCTGATTACCTTCTCCTTAGCTGTCCCCAAATAAAGCTATGAACAGGGCAAATTTGTCTTGAGTCTCATTTAATTCTTTTAACTCTCCTCTTCCTATTCACAGGTCACTGTCAAAAAAATGTAGCTTGGCCTCTATGATCCTTCTTGCTTTGAATGTTCCTGTCCTGAAGGCAGCTTGGTAGAACATAGAGGACTAGCGGGGCAGTGAAGAGGTGGATTCACGCCTAACTCACAACTTCTCAAAGCTTATCAATTCATGGAACCATCTGGGTCGCACATAGAGAGATGGTAGTCTGTGTCCCTCCGTAGTTCCAGTTCTTAAACTCTAAAATGAAAGACTTAAGTTGATTAATAACTATGTTGGTTATTCTCACCAGACCCTTACCTTGTGGATTGTTTGAATGAGGGCCTGTGTCCACTACCCTAAGAGGCCTTGGATGATACCCATGGAGGGCTGCTCCTGGTGTTCGGTACTAGTCTGTAATTCCTGCAGAGTTGACAGATTATAACAATTCTCCATATTGACCAAAAGTTGACTGTTTTATATGAGCAACATATCACAACTCCAGAGCAGTATTTGTTCGGTTTCATTTCTGTTTTGTGATTTTAAAAAATATACATGAAAGATAGATAGATAGATAGATAGATAGATAGATAGATAGATAGATAGATAGATAGATA